GGTACAACGACGACCTCGATCCTCATCAAGAAAACGTTCGTCTCCATTGCTACGAGAACGCTCGCTCTCAGCACAACGGCGACCTCGATCTTCATCACAAAAACGCTCGCCTTCATTGCTACGAGAACGCTCGCTCTCAGCACAACGACAATCCCGATCCTCAGCCCGAAAACGCTGGTCATCGCCTCCACTAGAAGGACCAGTAAAAGCAATAGCTGCAACTGTTAATAAAGGAATAATTCAAGTTGTGACAGGTGATATAACAGCAGAAAGAGTATGCATAGAAATTTCCTTCCATATTAAAATAACTGTACAATCTTTTTATTTGATAGGTAGATGTTATAATTGGAAGCTCATCATCGGAAATTTTAAAAAAAGCAATTATAAAGGTAGCTGGCGATGAAGTTCAGACTTCATACAATACCGAAAACAAGAACAATCCAAATGCTATATTAATTTCGACACCACCAGGTGCCTTATCTTGCAAACGAATCTTTTTTGTTAAATGGCAACCTGATAAAAATGAGACAATACTTCAACAATCGCTTGTTGATCTGATTTGGACTGTTATACAAAATGTGATATCATATAACTTCACGTCGTTTGCATTTCCAGCTCTTGGATGTGGGCAACACGGGTGTTCTGTAGATGTTGTAGTCAAGACAATGGTGAAAGAAATGAAAAACCAATTGACTATGAGAAATCTACCTCTGACAGTGAGATTCGTGATACAGTCTAGTCAACAAAATATTTATGACGAATTTTGTAAACAAGTATTAGCAACACAAGATGGTATAATTAAACTTTTCTTTTTTAGTTAAATTCAACCTTTCAGTATAGACTGAGTAAATTATCAACTTTTAAAGACTGACTGAGTTCAAAACTTTTTCGGTCAGGTTCGAGTCCAAACAAGCCGAAACCAATTTCTTCTCTGTTTGTTGGATAAAAACTATTGCTTAGAATGACTCTTAGTATACCAGCTGTTTTGAAGAAGGAAAACAACATGATTAGTTATGTCCTAATTAGTTGATATCAAGGAGTAGATCAGCTAGATATTAAAAACACATCATGAAAAGATTTACATTTTCCTTAGCTAGGATAACGACAAATGAAAATTTAATATTTTTAATTTTAGCAGATATTCGGGGATCGTTTCATTATCAGGTGCCTACAACATGGGATAAATCAAGAAAAAATAAAATACGTTTTGAGTTATCGAATACAGCAGATGAATATAAATCAATCGTAACTAATTTCAATCGGCCTATGAAAGGAAAATATACAAAAATAATACGAATAGAACGCATTCAAAATGAACGATGGTATATTCAATATTTAGCACATAGTCGAAATTTCAAAATAAGTCTCGATAAAGATACTGAAAAATGTTTATATCACGGTTGTCCTGAAGAGGCAGCTAAAGAAATCGTGAAAGGTTGTTTCAATCGGAGTTTTGCAGGAGAGAATGGTAAATTTATGTCCCATTTGGCCCATTTTTGTATTGATAGCAATTTATCTTTAGGAACACTATATGGTGTTGGTGTTTATTTTTCATCAAATGCAGCTTATAGTCACAATTATACAAAACCAAACGTCAACGGAGAGCGAAGTATGTTCTTGGCGCGAGTTCTAGTTGGAAATACAACTATAGGTAACAGTTCAATGAAGACTTGCCCCGCTGGATTCGATTCAACTACTGATGGCAATCATATTTTTGTCACTTATCATGATGCTCAAGCTTATGCTGAATACTTAATTACTTATAAATAGAACTGAATGATTATATTATGTTGTAATTCTTTTAATATATTATTTATTTATTCCGGATTTGAACCAATAGTGTCAAACTTGAAACTTGAATTCAATTGAAATTTCAAGTTTAAACCGACAGCACCCCTGCGATGATATGTGTGTGTGAATGTGTCTCAGTCGACACTGATGAAACTCCTTTCGCTGCACCCGTACCCGGCTGCGATGATGTGTGTGTAAATATGTGAGTCATGATTCTTCAGAGTGCTGTCGGTTTGAAAGCTGAAACTTGAAATTTCAATTGAATTCAAGTCTCAAGTTTGACATATATGATTTGAACTTGATTAAAGTCTAAGGAAATGAACAAGCACACTTTATTAAAACAACTTGAGGGTTTGGGTGTAGATCGGTGTGAGTATGGGGTGTGAATGTGGGTGGGGGGTGTGGATGTGGCTCTGGAGTGTGGATGTGAATGTGAATGTGGGATGTGAATGTGAATGTGGGTGTGGGTGTTTTCTTTATTAATGCCCACACTCACACCCACACCCACACCCCCACCCCCACCCCCACCCCCACTCCACACCCACACCCACACCCACACCCTTTACAATCTAAAATAATTTTACAGGATAATACCGCGCTTGTCAGGCATCGAACTGAACTCGAACCTGTGGAAGTTGGTTTGATTCCTTTTCTGATAGTTATCGTTAAATAGTGTCCATGATGAATTGCTTTTTACATTAAAATATTCAATTTTTTTCTTTATTATGAAATTTTTTTGTATTGATAACAATATAATAAAAAATACGAATAATAAATCAAGAAAAAAGAATTGTTATTTGAATAAAGAGAAACAATTGCGTAGTGCGAGATTTTTTGAATTTATCATTTTCAATGGATTTTCAGAAAACAGTTCAATAGGATGAAGTATGGTAGCTGCTTTTTACATATAATCTACTAAACCAAAACGATTCAAAGAGTGTAGATGTGGTTAAACAGAATATCAACATTTATACTCACATTCTTCTTGATATTATTAAAAGTACTAGTTATAAATGCAAGTTTTAATCCAGATGTTGTGCAACTTTTTCTTAAACTCTAACGACATGGCTTAGAAACAGTTTTCGTTAAAACTTCAATGGTTAAAATATGTTTAATGGATACATGTAATCGACTTATTTACTAGTTAAATCAATGATTGAAATCATAATAAAACATACGATATGAAACATAAATCAATAAGCCAAACAGAAATTAGAGCACAAAATAAATGACAATCTATTCTGATTGGTTTAGAAAATTTAGATATGATTGTTATAATAGAGACCGATTCTAGTAAAAAGAAAAAAAGTAATCTTGTTGTTATGTTTCCATTTTATGAATCGATATTTTTAGTCTTTATTGAAGGTGTGGGTATGAATGACAGAGAGAGAGAGAGAGTATATGATTCATCAACATATCCAAACAACATCTACATTCACACCGTATTTTGAATTGCGCAAGTAAATCAGCATATAATTTTTCTAGATTCGATTCATGTATGAATGCTTGTTGAAATTGACGTCAATGTTCAATATTCGTTAACTAAAATAAATAAAATAAATTTTGCTTTTTTGTTGATATAATTGATATTTGCAGAGACTATTTTCGATCAGCAATAAGAAATAAACGATTGCCTGATTCTTCGAAACGAACACTGAAACGTGATAACATCAATAAAAACCTAAAAAAATAAAATATATACTATATTATCAATGAAAATTCATTTTGACATTTCATGACGAAATTTATATGATTTTGTATTGATCGTCATTCCTTCGGATTGAAATAAAGAGTTTTTGTTTTTCATTAATGTTTTACTATTTATCTTTTCCAAATAAATTTTAATTGTATGTGTAAGTCTTGATAATTTTTAAAAAGAAAACTAGGAAGAATATTTAACCATAGGCAGAATTTTACTCATAAGATGGTGTGGGTGTGGATATCATTATAGATCTTGTCTTCACCCACACTCACACCCTGTGATAGACATGCACTTAACATAAGACAAGTTAACTCCCATATAGCCATACATAGTGATTTTCTTTGTGTAATATTTGTCATTGATAATAAAGTCCATTCATTAACTTTAGCTGAATAACGGGCATTAATTAAAGCACGAAAAAAAAACTAATGTCTGCAAGTAATAATGATAAAGGACGTAATAAAAGTAAAGCTTCATATGGTAATGTTGATGATTGTTTAGTACCTTCATATAATTCTTCAACAAGTTCAATAAGAATATTATCTGATGATGATATTATTGATGAACTATCAATTATTGTTTGTTCTTTATTAACATGTTTATTATTTAATGGATTTTGTATTTTTATTTGGTCATTGTAATAATGTATAAATACGTGAAAGTATTAACACTATATATCATTTTTGGGATATTGACCAACTATTAAAAGTTTTTCAAGACTAATTGATATAATTTTTTGTGTTAAATTATCATCATTAATTAATGATAATAAAATATCATATGAATTTAAATCAACTTCATGAATAAACATGATGCATATGCATGAGTTTTAGTTATTAATTTATTATTACGTTCAATTAAACGTAGATATAATTCATTATATTCTTTTGTTGTTTGTCCAAGTAATATACTAGATTTACATAAATTATAACTTATTAAGGATATCATTAAGGCATCTTCATCAAACCATGTACAAAAATATTCATCATATAAATTTGATAAATGTTATGATAATGGAAATAAATCAGATAGATATATAATTGAACCTATTAATTTATATCACATATATTTCAATTAGAATTTGTAATGATAATGTTAAATCAAAACCATGATGCAAAAATAATCGATCAAATAAACTTTAAATTATATATTTTTAAAGATGGATGCCAGAAAAGAAAATGTTCATACTCTAATTTTTTGATTGATAGAATTTATTTGAAATTATTGATATAAGCTTTTATCTCTATGAAATAAGATAGTTTGCATGTATTATATATCAAATCAAAGTCAGAGAAACACTAGATTTTCTGTTTGATGAAATTAATAATTTAGCAATAAATTTAGTTTTCTCTTAACTTAGAGTTCTATTTGTCGATTATTAAAACATATGTGAGACTTACATTAACTGATAATGGTAATGTATTATTACTTTGGATTGATGTTAATATAGTATCATATGAAAGTTGTCCATAGGATAATAAACCACGTGTACCTAACCGGTCAATATTTGTAAATAAATTATTTAAACTTGTATCTAATGTTGAACGTGTTTGCATATATTGACCATTGATAAAAAAACAAAACAGATAAAATCTAGTTTATTTTTCAATCTTGTTACCATTGTGTTGCATTTGTTTCTAAAGTTTCTTCTTTTTTTTTTTTAAATTATTTGTTGTTTGTTTATTTTCATCATTAGATTGGTTTGTGGTGAATTAATTGAAGCTAAAAATGAAGCCTATATTTCTTGAAATTGTATTCTTAATAATCAACCAACTTCAAAATTGACTTTATATAAATATTGGTAAACAAAATAATAATATAGCTATACAATGTAAATCATGTCAATAAATATATGATATATATATTTAATTTTTCTTGTTAAATAATAAAGATGATCTTTTATCTGGTTCAATTAAATTTAAATATGATTATAATATATTTGATATAGTTAAACCATGTTGTTGATAAAGATATTCAAATATTCATAATAGTGTTTCCGATAATGTACAACATGATATTATTTGATCTGTTTCACAACTAAGAAATGATGTTTTTTTTTGAAATATATTTATATAAATTATTTCTGATATAAATATTATAAAACGTAATAAATCTTGTATATCACCTGTTAAAAATTGACATGTTAATTCAACATGATTTTGTATTTTATCAAAATATATTGATATAGAATCTATGAATGCAATTGAATATGGTTGATTATTAGAAGCATGATAAAAGACTTTTTTCATAAATTGTATTAGGTGTTGTTTCAATGTCATTTTAATTTATTTCATTTGATATAACTATACAAAATCCAAGAAAAATAAAAAAAGAACAGATTTATATTGTTTCTTATTTTCTCAAATCAATTTTCATTTACTATAAGAATTATCCTAAAAATTTAATGCTGTGGAAAAAATCCAATACGTTTTCGGAGTTCACGAGTTGAAACTTATAGAAAGTTTATCGAAATTGTCGAATGCAATTTATTTCGAAATATAATATTAGAAAGATGTCATTTTCTTTAATTGTAACAGTACAAATAGCACGACTGAGAATTTGATCTATAAGATTCGAGAGGAATTATTCGATCATTGTACTAATGTAGCTTAAATGTTTTCCTTTACGATTTGTATTACCTGAAATTCTGCATATTTTCTATTTCAAAATATTTTTCGAAATTTTGAATTATTCAAAAGTCTCATCTATTACTAGCACATAAACAATGTCAAAGTAAAAACAAAAACATTTCTTTTAATTGGATTAAAATTTTTATTATACATATATATTTATTTATTTCGATAAATTAAACTAAAATATACCGATGACATCATAAATGGTAATCATTTTTTTATAAGTTATATTTTTAAGCATTTGTTCATAAATTTTTCTTGTTATATCCATAGGACAATTAAGATTATTAAAATCTTCTTTAATAATATCGATTGATATTGTTATTGATAATATTTATAAAAATTTATGGTATATATTTAGGTCATAATTGTTTATTTAATGGTAATGGAAGGAATTGTTCAACTAATAAAACTAATAGAAGACCACTTTCATCTAAATGTATTCTTTCACAAAAAAATAAATGACTTGCAACTGATGTATGATGTATAAGATAAAATAAAAAATAATAATAATAATTGATAATGTGTTGTTATTGATGTAAAAAGTTCAACATATAATTTATGATGATATATTAAATCACAATAAGATTGTAATTGACCACTTATTAGATAAATGTATTCTTGATGATGATGGTGTTAATATTGGTGACCACCATGCTTCTTGTATATAATCAAGTATATTCAGAATATGTGTCCATTGTAATAATAATGAGATATAAAATAATGATCATAATAATTTAAAACATTCATTTAAAATAGTTAAATATGAAAATGTCTCAAGACAATGTAGAGTTCCATCATGAATTAATCATTGACATAAATCATTTACAATTGTTCGAAATTGTTTAACTAAAATAAAATCATAGATCTTATATAAGCATAGGAATTTTAAAGTCAAATTTATTTCGCTAGCTCATTAGTAATTAATGAATTGCAGGAAAGTTTTATCTTCAAATTAATGGGTGATATGTACATAAAGATAATCGGATGCAAGAGAAACTAATATCATATTGATTTGACCACATAATTCTCAAGTATTAGTTAAAATTCGTAATATTACGTCATGTAAAACACGAAGAAGAGTTCTGAAAACAAAAACGAGAATAATAGTTTTTAAATTATAAATAAAATCATTTCAAATACTTACGCACTAAAAGTTTCATCTCGTGTTTCATTAACTGATGATAAAACATCATTCTATCGTGTTAATATAGCATCTTCAGTTAAATTTTCTACAAGACATCGAAATATTATATTTATATTGATTAACTATCGATTTGTAGATTGACAATTGACATTCTAAAAAAAAATTTAAACTACAGAAAAATTTTATAAATAAAAACAACGGACATTTCTATTTACTAACGCTCGAAAAGTAACATCAAATAGTGTTAATTGTGTGGAATAAATATCCAAAAGTGATTGATTCTATTTGAACAAAAAAATAACCTGAGATTGTAAATGAGCAAGAAGTAAATCGACAATTTGTCGTGAAAGACGTTCCCATTTATCATCTTCAATTTGAACACTATTAACAATAACTGTTAACAGTCGTAAAGCCTATAACAATATAAATTCTATTATTATTTTTTCAGTACATACACATGACATGAAAAGATACTTTTATTTATAATAATTAAGACGCCTAGTTTTCCTGCAAACTCAAATACATAACAACAAGATGATTATTTTCAGATCATCGATTCGTTGAAGTGTGGGTGTGGGTTCAATCGAGGAGAAAAATTACATCTACACACCCACACCCACACCCTCACGAGTTTCTAAGATATTTGCGACTTTATAGAAGGACACTTTTTGTTCACTCTCATTTAATAAAACTTTTTAGGAATTTTAATTATTCGCATAACTCGAACAAGAAAAAAAATCATATAAAACTGGTTCTAATGCTGTCAAAGCTAAATAAATAATTTTAATGATAATTTCTTTTTCTTGAAAATGTTTTCTTTTTGCTTCCTACCATGTGTTTCAGGTTCATGTCCACTTGCTAATAATGAATCATAATGTTTTATTAAATCTTGTATTTTAATAACTTGTTTTGAATGAAGTGTATCATGTGATAACATAACAAGAAATTCAGCAATACAATAAATAAAATGCTATTTAAAAATAAACGAAACGATTAGAAATGCAACGAATTTCATCAGCTTCTAATCAACTATAATTAACACGAATTAAAAGTAATTGAACATGTAAATCGAGTATAGCAGCTTGAAAATCACTTTCATTTGTATATTAACATATTTTTTAAGACTAATTTTTTAGTTCAATAAAAACTATAAAATAGAAAACAAAAAAACAGACAGAATAAATCAAATTCGTTTTTTTTTTGTTTATTTTACTCTCGCATTGCACTATTTATACTTGATGCATAACATGAACCAAATAAAATAAATTATCGATTGTCGAATACTTATCGTATGAATATAAGTTAAAGAATTATTTAATAATACTTGTGAAGAAACACTTGAAGATTTAATAAAAACTAAATTAAAAGAATATTTTTAAATGAATGTTGTGTTAACAGAAAAAATGATTTTCAAATTTCGAATTGATAGCATTTCTTGCAGATCGCTCACGTAAACTAGATGATTTAATATTCGAATTTCAAGATAGAATCGAATCAAAAGATCTGACACTTTCACAACAAAACTACTCTTGTTAAGATCATCGATATTTGTAAAATCAGTTTTTCTATTACTATGACATTCTTATATTGAAATTTTCCTTCTCTAGGAAAGACCCTTTCAGAAACCTTCATTATAAGATTTCCATCTAAAGTTTTATTCATAGACAAGTTTCAGACACAATACGACATCCTAAAGGTTTTAGCTTAAACAATAAATATTTACTATTTAAAAGAAGTTACCTTTTGCGTACATTGAATGTTGATTTAAAATAATTAAGTGTTTCTCTTCCAAATTTTTTTGATAAATCTTGTGTAGAAATAAGACTTAAAACTGATTTCATAGACAATAATGATCATTTCTGATGAGTTTAATAAACTTTTATGTATTTGATAAGATGAACGTATTAATTCGAATAATTTCCAAAGTACCTAATTGTGTACAATTAACTTTTTTATCTTTGTCTGCGCTTGATGTTGTTAATGAATCTTTATTATTCTCTTTAAAAAGAAAAACAAATGAATTCGTTCAGACGAAACATGATCACATATATTCTTCAAATCTAACACTTTGGAACTCTTTTCTTCTGTGAAAACTGAAATATCAACTATATTCTGTCCAAAAGAATGATGATAAAATAGTTCAATTTTTCGAATTACTTGAATCATTTGTGCTACTTTCAAAACATTTTTTCATTTGTTGAGATTTGATAAATCTTCAAATAAAAAGAAAGAATTCAAAAAAAAACATAATAAATATCTTTTTTTTCTCTTTACTTGAAAAGATTAAATTATTAAGATCATGTAATATAAAGGAATGTTTAAAAAAAAATTATAAATAAACGAAGTTCATCATATTGATTATGAAAAAATTGGTCGAATTGTTGTTGGTCTTAAAACATTTGAAAGAACATAAATATCTTCTAAACATCCAACCCATATAAAAGACAAAAATGACAAACAATTTGTATTCGAGTTGATGCTTGAGTTTGTAATGAATGATGAATTTTATATATCCATTGACATGGTAAAAATGAATTGTGATCAACAAACCTTAAAATCAAAAAGTAGCTAATAACTAACTTAATGCAATAAAATCGACTTATTCATTCAAATTCGAAAAAAAGCTACCTAGTTAATATCTCTACAAAATGCATACTTAGCAAAAGTCGAAGCAGTTGCTTGACGAACACGTATATCGAATCTAGGACACGTGCCCGCAGAACATTTGCCCGCCGGACAGATGCCAGCAGGACACTTGCCCGCAGATGACACTTGCCCGTAGGACACTTGCCCGCGGAGGACATATGCCCGCAGTGGACACTTGCCCGCCAGGCAGTTGCCTATGTGGGGACACTTGTCCACAATGCACCAGGATACTTGCTTGGTGACGATTTAGGAACTATAAACTTATTACATTATTAAAAAATTACTGCATCTTATCAATGGAGTTATGTGAACTAGTGATATCAAACTATCCTCCAACAATCGTATGACTTCTCAAGGATCTATCAATGCTTAAACCTCATGCTTGTGTTTGTGTCTGTTCGTATTCCTTTCTTCCATTTCTTTCGACAAACCATTTTCTTTCTATTCGATATCGTTTTCCTCGCTCGTTTTACATAGCTTGGTTTTAGGGTTAGGTTGTGCACATCCGAACATTTGGAATTCCGGTGAAAAAAGACCAATCGATGATTGAAGTCGAATTAATCCAAACCTGAGCCGGGATTAGACGACGAAAATATTTGGTGAAACAACACCAACAAATAATAGTTTTGAACATTTTGAATAAATAGTCGACAACAAATTTGGAAAAATAGTAGCACTAGCCATTAACATCCTGGTCAAATCGGTCAAACTTATTTTTCTTGAACTTGATAGTTCGTTTGTTAATGACCCATATTGTTGTAGGTTTCCATTTCTACATTCTACTACTTATAAGATGTATATATAAGTGAGTTGATAAAATGAATAAGATTTTGAAAGCAATGAAATTAGTCCCCTTTGTTTCGAAGAATAGTAGTGCGAATTTATTTTGCGGGTAAGTATCATGCAGGCAACTGTCCCACGGGCAAGTGTCCGCTGCGGGCATGTGTCCTCCGCGGGCAAGTGTCCTACGGGCAACTGTCCCGCGGGCATCTGTCCGGCGGGTAAGTGTCCTGCGGGCAAGTGTGCGTATACCACGTATATCAGGGTACTGTTGTTTTAATTGTTGTTCAAGATAAGTTAATATTCGAAAATCAATATCATCCATAAGTTGAGCTAGACTAACCTATTTTATATACATACAAAAAAAAATTATTATAATCATAAATTTCTTTTATCTACTTTAGCAAGAATACAGGAACTTGTAGTATGTTGAATAGAATCTTCTAATAATTTAATTCCTATGATTGTAAATGCATGACTATTAATTAATAATAAAAAAAGGTAATAATGTGCGTAAAGCATTTAATGAAACATGTATAACACGTGCATTATTATCATTAAGACATATAACCTTGAACTGTCTTGTGAATCAGTTGATACAAGTGAACATTGTTTAATAAAAGATGAATTGTTGTTTGAATTAATGTAGCAAGTAAACTTGCACATGCACCACGTAAATGTAGATCACCATGTTCACATAAAGATAAAAGATATGTAATATCTTAAAGAAAGGAAAAAAAAAGATGCCTTGATGTTCGATAAATTTTAATGTATTTCAAGTCATATAGAGATGGGAATTTTATTTTTCTCATTAGGAAATTTCATATCAATTACAAAACTATATTTAATCAGAAATCTTCAAAGACTAAAGAAAAACTCCTTAGAGGATACAATTGATTTCATATCTCGAACTTCGGCTTAGAACTATTTTTTGAAGTAATTGTGTGATTGTATGATTTCAATCTCTGATGTATAAATGCAGGCTTTGAGCTTCAATAAAGTGTTCTACTTGATATCTTTTCGAGTCTGATAATGTTCTAGTCTTTTGTTGATTCCAAAAAAATTAAAAGTAGGAATAGGACTAGAGCTGCTGAATCAATATTCAGAAATCTCCGTTCTTGAATTTTCAGATTCCAATATATATATATATGTTTCAACAATTTAATAGTGAAATTGTCATATCTATCAGATAACTTTCACTAAAACTTTGAGACCTTAATCAATTGAAGCCACGTCAACTAAACTCTGCCACAATTCCCTTCACCTAGACCCTCCTACTGTTACGACATTAGAAATAATTTTGGATTATAAAAAAAAGTCAAACAAGAATTAAACATACTTTTAGTAAGATAAACAAATGGATCAAATTGTTTATAAATACGATAGACATATTGGTATAGCACTTTTAACACTAATACATGATTCATCATCACTTTTTATCGTACCATCCATATTTAGTATATATCTAATCGGAAAAAAAAATATAATTGATGAACAAGTTTAGCAGCTGATATTCATTTTTCATTATTAATCATTGATGTTGAATCGAATTCATCATTCATTTCAATAAATCAACGTTGATATGTTGAATAAGCTATTGTTTTAGAAAAAAAAAATTCTTGTTTTTTTCCTCAATATTTACCTGTTTTTCAGGCTTCACTAACATGAATTTCTTCTATAGATCCAATTTGAGTTGAAATTAATAATTGATCAAAATCAAATAAATTTGAATATTTAAGTATAATTTCATGTGTTTCCAATGAACTTGATACAACATTATGATCATTATGTTGTAAACAAATATAACATACCATATCAACACACTAAAAAAAGATTTACATTGAAATTAAAATCATTCATTATTTGTTGAATACTGATTGAAAGATGTTATTCATTTGTATCAATATTTTTACTTCTATTCATTGATTGTTGATTATTGCTTGATTATGATTGAAATTCTTAGATATTTAAACTAAATAATTGAGGGTCGGGATGTGTAGGGATAAGCAATACAAACACTCACACCCACTTCTCAAAATGCCTGAGTCTTCTTAAAGCACATTCGCCATACTTTCTTCGGATGCATCTAACGAAGTTTGAGTGATAAATAGAGTTTTTCATACATCGAACGATAAAATAAAAAATATAAAATTTTTCATTTATTTATTTTGAAGCTTTCAACACTACTTCTATAATTATCAATTTCAAAAAAAATTTTACGATAGAAAATACTTATATATATTAGAATAAAGTTCAAAGTCTAATGAATCATTATAACTCAAATTTACGCTTATACAAGTATCAGTGTATATTTTATCATTGCAACAACACGAAACGCAAAGGTAAGGTAAAAAAGGAAGAAGTAGAATATATGAAAAACGAAACGTATTTTATGACGAACACATGGTCGAAAAAGTCGTTTACATGATGAAAAAGTCATGCTTCATTGATTCATGTAAATATACGTTTGTGGGAAAAAACCAAGTAATTTTGTCAATGATAAATACAGAATAAAATCGATTGCAAGCACACAAAACAAAATTTGCTATACTCCAACATTACATAGCACGTAAGTGTATTTAGTTTCTAACATTATTAGACTAGTAAGAAAATTAAAGTGAAAAGTAAAGAGTAGCTACACACAAAAAAAAATGACGGTACATAAACATGTGTCATTGTTATGTTTATAAAGTAGTTTTAAGAGAATTTCGCTTGATGATACATGCAATCGATTGTCTTGGTTGCAGAATCTTGTATGTATAAAACAGTCTTATTGTAAAACATGTTAAACAGAGTAACTGTTTCTATGCATAAATTTTAACGCGAGTACCAGTAATGAAAGGCACAATTTTTCTTTTAGAAAGTACTCTTTTTCTGGTCTACCGACTAATCTGGCCTGATTAGATAGAGAAACGGGTTAGACATGTCGAAGTTTGAAGACATTCTGGACTAGTTCAGACGTAGCTGCAGGAGTTTTCATGTCAGGATAACTAGTTAGGACAGGTATTTTCGACATTTCGGACTAGTCATGTCGTCCGTCCTCAGCGACTATTTGTTTCCTTAGCCATTCTTCTTTATTTATGGTTCGATGTATTTTGTCAGTAACACTCTTGAAACAAAAATGAACCAGATAGTAGAGGTTCTTGAAGTCTGTAGCCACAAGTCAGAAAAGGAATGATGTTAACCAACAAAAAATTTAACAATTATAAATATAGAGGACTTCGTTCCACAGATTATATTCATTCGTTCGATTACAATGAGCAAACAAAAGTCGACAACAACTGTTATCAGTGGTGCAGCAGCGATGCCTAGCACCACCACTATTACCAACGCGAACAATCGTGCTGCTGCTGTGCTGCCTCGACCTAGGCGTCGGGTTCTTCAAAATTTCCGGCTTCTATGGCTTGATGCCAAATTGGATGAATCCAATGACGATTTCAAGAAATCGTTTCGACGCCTGCGACGTGTTGTAGCAAGCATCGAAACATTTAAAGATGCTCAAGAATGCATTGATTTTCTCAGTGCCGTTACAAATCAAAAGGTATTTATGATCGTATCTGGTTCACTGGGACGGCAAATAATAGCAGATATTGAAGCATGGCCACAACTGGAGTCAGTCTATGTATTCTGTCGCAACCAAGCAGCTCATGAACAATGGGCCAATAAAGTACCAAAGGTTAAAGGTGTATACACAAAAATCAAACCAATTTGTCAGGCACTTGAAATCGATCGTGAAAATTGTGATCGAGCAATGATCTCGATCAGCTTTAATGGTCGTGATGCCTTATTTATGTATACGCAATTATTAAAAGAAGCACTTTTGGAAATTGAAGATGACGATGTCAAATCAATTAAAGATCTCGTAGAGTACTGTCGTCTTCAAGATGATGTTGATGAAGATGAAATAAAAAAAGTGCAGCGAGAATACCGAAATCATACATCAATTTGGTGGTATACGGCTCCTTATTTCATGTACTCAATGCTCAATCGTGGGCTCCGAGAAATGGATGTCGATATTATCCTGAAAATGGGCTTTTTCATACGTCATTTACATCAACATATTACCGAATTACATCGTGAACAACAAGGGAACATGCCAACAAATTTTCAAGTCTTCCGTGGACAAGGTTTGTCCATGGAAGATTTTGAAAAAATGAAAAAAACCAAAGGAGGACTTATGTCCTTCAATAATTTCTTATCAACAAGTCGCAATCGCAAGATTTCCCTGGAAAACTTTGCACTACCAGCTACAAACAATCCTAATTCAGTCGGCATCCTCTTTATTATGAACATTGATACGGCTATTTGTACAAAATCATCAACACCATTTGCTGAAGTAAGTAAAGTTGGGTACTACAAAGATAAAGAGGAAGAAATACTCTTTTCAACACATGCGATTTTTCGTATCGATCGCATTGAACGAATTCACGATAATCACTCTGATAGGCTATACGAAGTTAATCTCACTATTGTGGGTAATGACAATCATGAATTGAACACACTTACAGCACACATACGTAAGGACCTTGGTGTGCGCACAGGATGGTCTCGACTAGGTCGTATACTAAAAAGAGTGGGCGAACCTGCAAAAGCCGAACAACTCTATCAAATTCTCCTTGCAAAGGCGTCTTCTGATGAAGATCGAGCGGAATACAATTATCAACTTGGCTGGGTGTATAATGACATGGGCGAGTACTCAAAAGCACTTTCATCCTATGAACGATCACTTGAAATCCGTAAAATAGCTCTCCCTCCGAATCATCCCGACTTGGCTGCTTCCTACAACAATATCGGTATGGTGTATCATAACATGGGCGAGTACTCAAAAGCACTTTCACATTACGAAAAGGCACTTGATATCGACCAGAGAGCTCTTCCACCAAATCATCCCGACTTGGCTTCTGACTACAACAACATCGGTGCGGTGTATGATAACATGGGCGAGTACTCAAAAGCACTTTCATCGTATGAACGATCACTTGAAATCCAGAAAATAGCTCTCCCTCCGAATCATCCCGACTTGGCTTCTTCCTACGAAGGTATCGGGTTGGTGTATAAAAACATGGGCGAGTACTCAAAAGCACTTTCATCGTATGAACGATCACTTGAAATCAAGAAAATAGCTCTCCCTCCGAATCATCCCGACTTGGCTACTTCCTACAACGGTATTGGTTTGGTGTACGATAAAATGCGAGACTATTCGAAAGCATTATCATACTTTGAGAAAGCACGTGGTATTTGGGAAAAGGCTCTCCCTTCAAATCATTGGTATATTTCACATGTAAAAGGAAACATTGAAAATGTAAAAAAGAAAATGTAATTGTTTTTTTTTCGTTTTTAAAGAGAAAATAAACTGGCCATCTTGAAATCTAAGCTCGCCGAAGCAAGCAGCTGCAAAATTTCGCGCACGCGCGACCAGAGATACCCTCCGTATTCTGCTGGCTCGTACAGTGGACAAAGCCGGCAATGGTTAGGCAAACATACATCGATGTACGTATGAATAGTACGACCATGATCATCATCTTCGAAAAGATGATGACGAAATGGACGCTTCTACTCATACATACATTGATGTATGCTATGAAGGCCTACCATCTGCACGCCTGCACGGGTCACCAATAGAACGTCGGATATCCCTGGGAAGGTTCAATTGTTTTAGAGCCACCCTCAAAAGCTCCATTAGTTAGAAAATTATTTTTATTCTTCTGGTAGGAAGAACAAGAAGAAGTGGAAATGGAAGAAAGATAAGATATGAAAACGGAAAGACGCGATAAAAGACGACGTCGACGTAACGGAATGATAATACGCAGCGCATGACAACGACCGGTGTTTGTCAAGCAATGGAATATTGAGTGCACGATATCTTTGTCGTCTTTAAACATTTCATGTTCAATTCGTCTGTGTTTTCATCTCGAATGTGTAAGGATAACTTGCATGTCGTGCACTCGCCATTGTAGCAAAACGAACGATGATTGAATGAAACGGTGGATAAAAACAATACATTCGCCGTCAATTTGAGTAATAACTCATGCATTGCATATCTTGGAATAGAGATAAAGAATAGAAAAAAAGGAAAGGTTATGTTAACATTGATGGTCAAAAACAACTTGAGTCTTTCGGAAGATACTTATCAGGCTTGCTGTTTTTTTAAATGTGCATTAATATTAATACCTCGTAAGAAAATAAAAAGAATAAATATCTTTCTTTATCTATTCATGAAACAATTCTTAAATTATTTAAACTTTAAAAAAACCTTTATTAGATAAGAAAAATCTAATTAACAAATTTCATAGAGATTTTATGTGAATAATTGAATATCTATTTGAAAAGAAATTTGCTCTTTAACATCAACAAACTTATGATCAAAATATTTTTTTTATTGAAAATGATTAATAATTCGATGTTATTGCTACTTCTATTTAGGATTATGAAATCATTTTTTCACATCTTATTTCGATTAAGATTAACATATTTTTTTTTGAAGGTTACAATTGAAGATTACGAATATTATTTTGATCAATTTTAATTTTTAATAGTTATTTATTATATTCACAATAAGATCTTAATTTCAGTTCTAAAATATTAAAAAAATTATAAAAAATTAAATGATCATATAGGTAATTTATGAAAAAGCTTTCATTTTATCTTTAAATATTATCTTGGGATGATGTTAATATCAATGTTAATCGATGTGATACTTCAACTTTAACGTATTTTACTCGATACGTTTTTCATTTAGGTTTAACAACTTGGCCAACACTTTGTTTGTGTTTTGATGGATTTTTATAAAATAAAACATTAAAAACCATTGTTT